CCCAAACTTTTTTAAAACAGTTACTACGTAGAAAGAAGCGAATACAATCACAAAGATACATTTATTATGTCTTTTTTTCTTTTCTCTTTTACTCGGGTGTCCAAATATAGTGTGATTTCCAAGTTTCCCTGCTAAGATGCCGAACCACTTCGGCGGCACCGTCGCCATGAACGTCGACTGTCTTACATTCTGGACTTGGCGACCACAAGGCTTGTCCCTTCGCCCATTCCAGCAGCCCCCGACCTCGTCCAAGTCTCCTTGAGCTGTTCCTCAGTAACACCTGTATATGCAAAATAAAACGATCATGTTTAGGAAAAACAAAAAAATGTGAATTTTTGTAGATAGTTAGATAATTATGGAGCGAGCAAAATGCATGCATATAATGTTTTGCATGTAAAAAGCCAGAAACTTTTTACTACTAAAAGCATTTTAAGTATCACTATTATAGAAATGTGATAGAAAAGAGTAAAACACTGATCAACCACTAAACCACTACATACAGTTAGTTGATATAAAAAATGTCACATATTAACTTCTTTTCATAGCTCTTATAAGTGGAAGATCCAATACTGAATCCAAAACTGATTCTCGGAACAAGTATCTTTGTTGAAAATTACGCTTACATATAAATAAATATTTACCATAATAAGAACTAGTTTCATTAGTGTTATGTGTGTATTCAAATCAAACAAAAAGTAATATTACATTTGCCCATGGCCGCAGTGGAGGAGATTCCACCTTGGACGGTCTTAAGATAACGATCATAGTAAGTAGCACCTGACCATTTCTGATGAGCAAAAGTGTCAACTCCATTGCTCCTCTCTTCTCTCTGAATCCTCTCCACATAAGCCAGCATCTCTCTCCTTGCGTAATCCTCTGCAAAGGTATTGACCACAAGAGCAATTGCATGGAAACCCGCAAGCGTTATGTACTGCTAGCAATACCCAAGCCTAGCGATCCCCAGGATAAACTCCACCATTTGCTGATCCGTCATACCGGAAGCGTCCCACTTGAAAGACGGCGAGAGGTTGTAGGCGAGCATGACCTCTGGTGTCTTGGACTTGATTCCTTCTGCGAATTGTGTGCACTCATTGAGATCGGGGCTTGCCGTTTCCATCCAGATAATCTCAGTGATCTATGCAAAGGTCCAGCCACGGACCACAGCCGCTGTGACCGAGCCTTGGAACTGGTAAAATCCTGATCTGTCACGTTTGCTGCTAATTCTCGTCCTTGCTCCTCTGATAGGCCGATCTCATACCTGGCTAGTTCAACGAGTTTTGAATGTACATTAGCTAGTGTGGTTATAACATCAAAAGCATTGCAATTTGTAAAGATTTTTGTAAAGAAGAACAGGCTAGATTTACCAATTAGATAGGAATATTATTCATTACGAACCTAACAGTCTAACAGTTTATGCTATAATAAAATAACACTTTCAAAACTTGTAACAAGCACCACAAAATGTTTTTTGGATTAAGTATGTAATAGAAGATATTAATCATATCCCTTCAATCTCGCTCAATCACTCCTACATCATTGCTTAATTATGTTTATACTCATTAGCGTATATACTCTTACCCTGTATCACTTTCTCTTGGTGTATATAACAAGAGCTGTAACTAATAATCAAATCATCTAATTCCATACTTCAACATGGTATCAAAGCAATAAACGTTCTTGAGAACCCAGATTTTTTTTTTCTCCGCTCCTTTATCTCTCTTCTTCTTGCTATCTCTGTTCTCCTCTGTTTCTCAATTCTATCTCTGTTTCATCTTCTTCATTATGTCTTCTGAAAGTCCTACTTCGATTGAAAACACAACTGTGTTCAATATTCAAAATCCTCAGAGTACACTTCTTTCTGTGAATATGTCTAGCGTGACAAAACTCACCAACGTTAATTATTTGATGTGGCACAAACAAGTACGTGCACTCCTCGAAGAGCACGAACTTCACGGATTCCTTGAAGAATCAACAGCTCCGCCGGCCACCATCATTGTCGACAATCAATCCAACGTGAACCCAGTTTATGCCCCTTGGCGTCGACAAGATCGGCTTCTGTATAGCGCCATCATCGGTGCAATCTCCTTACCAATCCAATCAGTGGTCTCCAGCGCCACCACCACTGCCGAAGTCTGGAGCCTCCTTGCCACAACTTTTGGTAATCCAACCCGTTGACACATCCGTCAACTCAAATTTCATATCAAATCTTGTGTCAAAGGTACCACCACCATATCTGAATACCTACGCACCATCAAAGCTAAGGCATATGACTTGGCACTTCTGGGCAAACCGATGGACCCGGAAGATCTTACTGAGCAGATCCTTGATGGTCTCACTGCTGATTACAAGCCTGAAATTGATGCTATTAATGGGCGTGATACTCCGATCTCATTCTCGGAACATCATTAACGCCTGCTGAATAGAGAAGCCATGATTCTCTGCCATGAATCTGTAGCTACGACTCCTGTTGTTGCTAATGCCACTGAAAACTCGTCCCCGACAGAACTGGAAACCCACTCAAAACAATCACTTCCGCAACAATCAACAATCACAACACCGCAACAATCAACATCAACAACAAAATCGCAATGGATACAAACCATACCTTGGACGATGTCAAACATGTGGAACGCAAGGGCACAGTGCCAAATACTGCCCTGAATTTCGTATTGTTCGTGGATCTCAATCCACTCAGCCGTGGCATCCTCCATCATCTACTCAGCCCTGGCAGCCACGGGCCAATCCTGCAATGATGTCTGACTCCGCAACATGGCTGCTTGACACTGGTGCTTCTCACCACATGACGTCAGATCTCAGCAATCTCTCCCTGCACAGTCCGTACCAAGGAGGCGATACTGTGATGCTTGGAGACAATTCTGGTCTTCAAATATCACACTGGTTCTTTCTCTATACCCTCATATACTCGACCTTTCTTTTTAAATAAAGTCCTATGCGTGATTAAAATAATTAGATATAGGAGCAACTACATATTCTGTTGGTTATATAACATTAATAAAAAGTTTTTTAATCGTTTTTCTAACAGTTAGTTATAATTAAGATAAAATTATTATTTTATTGCTTTCTTTTCTTTTTAATTACTTTGTCATTTCTCTAAATAGTTTTCATCCATGATTGATAAATGATTTTAAAAGTTTGGTCAAGAATTTTATGAAAAAAAAATGAAAAAAAAAGTTTTAGAATTACAATTTAGTTTATCATTGTTGTTATGTGACAATTATATTTATTATTATAAAAGAAAAATAATGAATAGGAGCATTTTTTATTCTCTTCTGTAAACTATTAAAGTTGGCATGGTTCTTGAATGTGATTGAAATAATTAGATATAGGAGCAACAACATATTCTGTCACCGCTAATACCCCCAAGAGAATATATCATCGTCAGATGCTACCAACAGATCGATGAAAGGGTCTGGATTATTGCTGATAAGTCACAAAGCATTGTTAAGGGTGACCAAGTAAATCCTTCTTGCTCTGTGACTCATCAACAACAATCCAAACCCCTTCATCGATCTATTGGCAGCACTTGACAATAATACACTCTCTTGGAAGCACTAGCAGCAACAGAATTTATAGTTGCTCCCATACCTATCAATTTCAGTCACATTCATATATACTAAAATGGATTCAGATTGTAGGTACTTCATTGGTGAAGACACTTTATTTATACTTCATTGGCGAAGACACTCTATTTATTGTGAGTCAACTTTGAGAACACTCACAAAAGGATATCTAACGTGGAGATTAGGTTTAATCTTGTTCAAAGATTATAGCTCATTTTTCCAAATTAGTATCAGGACATTGCTTCAACTTATAAGAACCATAATTCAACAAATCAAGTCAAGCAAAAATAGATCTGCTTCCAAAATAGTCATCTTTCCCCTGCTAGTTTTTATCATTTTCCGAAACTAATAAAAACTGGTTTATTTTGGATTTTTCAGGTCAAAGATTCCTCTTTTAGATAAACAAATTAAAAACAAAGGAGCGTTTGGAAATGTCACAACCTTATTGCCTCAGCCCATTATTTTTGACTTAAGCAAATATCCCAATATTGGTCCTTTAGTAATACTATTAACCAAGTAATAGTGGTAGACCTTTCGAGTGGTGCAACATTCTTCATGTCGTTTACATCGAAACTGAATCACAAAATATAATAAGAATATGAATCATTATGTAATCAAAGCCAATTACACCAAATTCCAAATATCCTTACAAAGAGGCAAAAACTCAATAAAATATTGCCCCCAAACTTTTTTAAAACAGTTACTACGTAGAAAGAAGCGAACACAATCACAAAGATACATTTATTATGTCTTTTTTTTTTTTCTCTTTTACTCGGGTTTCCAAATATAGTGTGATTTCCAAGTTTCCCTGCTAAGATGCCGAACCACTTCGGCGGCACCGTCGCCATGAACGTCGACTGTCTTACATTCTAGACTTGGCGACCACAAAGCTTGTCCCTTTGCCCATTCCAGCAGCCCCCGGCCTCGTCCAAGTCTCCTTGAACTGTTCCTCAGTAACACCTGTATATGCAAAATAAAACGATCATGTTTAGGAAAAACAAGAAAATGTGAATTTTTGTAGATAGTTAGATAATTATGGAGCGAGCAAAATGCATGCATATAATGTTTTGCATGTAAAAAGCCAGAAACTTTTTACTACTAAAAGCATTTTAAGTATCACTATTATAGAAATGCGATAGAAAAGAGTAAAACACTGATCAACCACTAAACCACTACATACAGTTAGTTAATATAAAAAATTTCACATATTAACTTCTTTTCATAGCTCTTATAAGTGGAAGATCCAATACTGAATCCAAAACTGATTCTCGGAACAAGTATCTCCGATGAAAATTACGCTTACATATAAATAAATATTTACCATAATAAGAACTAGTTTCATTAGTGTTATGTGTGTATTCAAATCAAACAAAAAGTAATATTACATTTGCCCATGGCCGCAGTGGAGGAGATTCCACCTTGGACGGTCTTAAGATAACGATCATAGTAATTAGCACCTGACCATTTCTGATGAGCAAAAGTTTCAACTCCATTGCTCCTCTCTTCTCTCTGAATCCTCTCCACATAAGCCAGCATCCCTCTCCTTGCGTAATCCTCTGCAAAGGTATCGACCACAAGAGCAATTACATGGAAACCCGCAAGCATTATGTACTGCTAGCAATACCTAAGCCTAGCGATCCCCAGGATGAACTCCACCATTTGCTGATCCGTCATACCGGAAGCGTCCCACTTGAAGGACAGCGAGAGGTTGTAGGCGAGCATGACCTCTGGTGTCTTGGACTTGATTCCTTCTGCGAATTGTGTGCACTCATTGAGATCGGGGGTTGCTCTTTCCATCCAGATAATGTCAGTGATCTATGCAAAGGCCCAGCCACGGACCACAGCCGCTGGAACTGGTAAAATCCTGATCTGTCACGTTTGCTGCTAATTCTCATCCTTGCTCCTCTGATAGGCCGATCTCATACCTGGCTAGTTCAACGAGTTTTGAATGTGCATTAGCTAGTGTGGTTATAACATCAAAAGCATTGCAATTTGTGAAGAGGAACAGGCTAGATTTACCAATTTGACAGGAATATTATTCATTACGAACCTAACAGTCTAACAGTTCATGCTATAATAAAATAAAACTTTCAAAACTTGTAACAAGCACCACAAAATATTTTTTGGATTAAGTATGTAATATGAAGATATTAATCATATCCCTTCAATCTCGCTCAATCACTCCTACATCATTGGTTAATTATGTTTATACTTATTAGTGTATATACTCTTACCCTGTATCACTTTCTCTTGGTGTATATAACAAGAGCTGTAACTAATAATCAAATCATCTAATTCCATACTTCAACATGGTATCAGAGCAATAAACGTTCTTGAGAACCCAGATTTTTTTTTCTCCGCTCCTTTATCTCTCTTCTTCTTGCTATCTCTGTTCTCCTCTGTTTCTCAATTCTATCTCTGTTTCATCTTCTTCATTATATCTTCTGAAAGTCCTGCTTCGATTGAAAACACATCTGTGTTCAATATTCAAAATCCTCAGAGTACACTTCTTTCTGTGAATATGTCTAGCGTGACAAAACTCACCAACGTTAATTATTTGATGTGGCACAAACAAGTACGTGCACTCCTCGAAGAGCACGAACTTCACGGATTCCTTGAAGAATCAACAGCTCCGCCGGCCACCATCATTGTCGACAATCAATCCAACGTGAACCCAGTTTATGCCCCTTGGTGTCGACAAGATCGGCTTCTGTATAGCACCATCATCGGTGCAATCTCCTTACCAATCCAATCAGTGGTCTCCAGCGCCACCACCACTGTCGAAGTCTGGAGCCTCCTTGCCACAACTTTTGGTAATCCAACCCGTTGACACATCCGTCAACTCAAATTTCATATCAAATCTTGTGTCAAAGGTACCACCACCATATCTGAATACCTACGCACCATCAAAGCTAAGGCACATGACTTGGCACTTCTGGGCAAACCGATGGACCCGGAAGATCTTACTGAGCAGATCCTTGATGGTCTCACTGCTGATTACAAGTCTGAAATTGATGCTATTAATGGGCGTGATACTCCGATCTCATTCTCGGAACTTCATTAACGCCTGCTGAATAGAGAAGCCATGATTCTCTGCCATGAATCTGTAGCTACGACTCCTGTTGTTGCTAATGCCACTGAAAACTCGTCCCCGACAGAACTGGAAACCCACTCAAAACAATCACTTCCGCAACAATCAACAATCACAACACCGCAACAATCAACATCAACAACAAAATCGCAATGGATACAAACCATACCTTGGACGATGTCAAGCATGTGGAACGCAAGGGCACAGTGCCAAATACTGCCCTGAATTTTGTATTGTTTGTGGATCTCAATCCACTCAGCCGTAGCATCTGCCATCATCTACTCAGCCCTGGCAGCCACGGGCCAATCCTGCAATGATGTCTGACTCCGCAACATGGCTGCTTGACACTGGTGCTTCTCACCACATGACGTCAGATCTCAGCAATCTCTCCCTGCACAGTCCGTACCAAGGAGGCGATACTGTGATGCTTGGAGACAATTCTGGTCTTCAAATATCACACTGGTTCTTTCTCTATACCCTCATATACTCGATCTTTCTTTTTAAATAAAGTCCTATGCGTGATTGAAATAATTAGATATAGGAACAACTACATATTCTGCTGTTGATTTAATATTAATAAAAAGTTTTTTAATCGTTTTTCTAACAGTTAGTTATAATTAAGATAAAATTATTCTTTTATTGCTTTCTTTTCTTTTTAATTACTTTGTCATTTTTCTAAATAGTTTTCATCCATGATTGATAAATGATTTTAAAAGTTTGGTCAAGAATTTTATGAAAAAAAAATGAAAAAAAAAGTTTTAGAATTGCAATTTAATTTATCATTGTTGCTATATGACAATTATACTTATTATTATAAAAGACAAATTATGAAAAGGAGCATTTTTTATTCTCTTCTGTAAACTATTAAAGTTGGCATGGTTCTTGAATGTGATTGAAATAATTAGATATAGGAGCAACAACATATTCTGTCACCACTAATACCCCCAAGAGAATATATCATCGTCAGATGCTACCAACAGATCGATGAAAGGGTCTAGATTATTGCTGATAAGTCACAAAGCATTGTTAAGGGTGACCAAGTCAATCCTTCTTGCTCTGTGACTCATCAACAACAATCCAAACCCCTTCATCGATCTATTGGCAGCACTTGACAATAATACACTCTCTTGGGAGCACTAGCAGCAACAGAATTTATAGTTGCTCCCATACCTATCAATTTCAGTCACATTCATATATACTAAAATGGATTCAGATTATAGGTACTTCATTGGTGAAGACACTCTATTTATACTTCATTGGCGAAGACACTCTATTTATTGTGAGTCAACTTTGACAACACTCACAAAAGGATATCTAACGTGGAGATTAGGTTTAATCTCGTTCAAAGATTATAGCTCATTTTTCCAAATTAGTATCAGGACATTGCTTCAACTTATGAGAACCATAATTCAACAAATCAAGTCAAGCAAAAATAGATCTGCTTCCAAAATAGTCATCTTTTCCCTGCTAGTTTTTATCATTTTCCGAAACTAATAAAAACTGGTTTATTTTGGATTTTTCAGGTCAAAGATTCCTCTTTTAGATAAACAAATTGAAAACAAAGGAGCGTTTAGAAATGTCATAACCTTATTGCCTCAGCCCATTATTCTTGACTTAAGCAAATATCCCAATATTGGTCCTATGGTAATACTATTAACCAAGTAATAGTGGTAGACCTTTCGAGTGGTGCAACCTTCTTCATGTCGTTTACATCGAAACTGAATCACAAAATATGATAAGAATATGAATCATTATGTAATCAAAGCCAATTACACCAAATTCCAAATATCTTTACAAAAAGGCAAAAACTCAATAAAATATTGCCCCCAAACTTTTTTAAAACAGTTACTACGTAGAAAGAAGCGAACACAATCACAAAGATACATTTATTATGTCTTTTTTTCTTTTTTCTTTTACTCGGGTGTCCAAATATAGTGTGATTTCCAAGTTTCCCTGCTAAGATGCCGAACCACTTCGGCGGCGCCGTCGCCATGAACGTCGACTGTCTTACATTCTGGACTTGGCGACCACAAGGCTTGTCCCTTCGCCCATTCCAGCAGCCCCCGGCCTCGTCCAAGTCTCCTTGAACTGTTCCTCAATAACACCTGTATATGCAAAATAAAACGATCATGTTTAGGAAAAACAAGAAAATGTGAATTTTTGTAGATAGTTAGATAATTATGGAGCGAGCAAAATGCATGCATATAATGTTTTGCATATAAAAAGCCAGAAACTTTTTACTACTAAAAGCATTTTAAGTATCACTATTATAGAAATGCGATAGAAAAGAGTAAAACACTGATCAACCACTAAACCACTACATACAGTTAGTTAATATAAAAAATTTCACATATTAACTTCTTTTCATAGCTCTTATAAGTGGAAGATCCAATACTGAATCCAAAACTGATTCTCGAAACAAGTATCTCCGATGAAAATTACGCTTACATATAAATAAATATTTAACATAATAAGAACTAGTTCATTAGTGTTATGTGTGTATTCAAATCAAACAAAAAGTAATATTACATTTCCCCATGGCCGCAGTGGAGGAGATTCCACCTTGGACGGTCTTAAGATAACGATCATAGTAATTAGCACCTGACCATTTCTGATGAGCAAAAGTTTCAACTCCATTGCTCCTCTCTTCTCTCTGAATCCTCTCCACATAAGCCAGCATCCCTCTCCCTGCGTAATCCTCTGCAAAGGTATCGACCACAAGAGCAATTACATGGAAACCCGCAAGCGTTATGTACTGCTAGCAATACCTGAGCCTAGCGATCCCCAGGATGAACTCCACCATTTGCTGATCCGTCATACCGGAAGCGTCCCACATGAAGGACGGCGAGAGGTTGTAGGCGAGCATGACCTCTGGCGTCTTGGACTTGATTCCTTCTGCAAATTGTGTGCACTCATTGAGATCGGGGCTTGCTCTTTCCATCCAGATAATGTCAGTGATCTATGCAAAGGCCCAGCCACGGACCACAGCCGCTGTGACCGAGCCTTAGAACTGGTAAAATCCTGATCTGTCATGTTTGCTGCTAATTCTCGTAATTGCTCCTCTGATAGGCCGATCTCATACCTGGCTAATTCAACGAGTTTTGAATGTGCATTAGCTAGTGTGGTTATAATATCAAAAGCATTGCAATTTGTAAAATATTTTGTAAAGAGGAACAGGCTAGATTTACCAATTAGATAGGAATATTATTCATTACGAACCTAACAGTCTAACAGTTCATGCTATAATAAAATAACACTTTCAAAACTTGTAACAAGCACCACAAAATATTTTTTGGATTAAGTATGTAATATGAAGATATTAATCATATCCCTTCAATCTCGCTCAATTACTCCTACATCATTGCTTAATTATGTTTATACTTATTAGCGTATATACTCTTACCTTGTATCACTTTCTCTTGGTGTATATAACAAGAGCTGTAACTAATAATCAAATCATCTAATTCCATACTTCAACATGGTATCAGAGCAATAAACGTTCTTGAGAACCCAGATTTTTTTTTCTCCGCTCCTTTATCTCTCTTCTTCTTGCTATCTCTGTTCTCCTCTGTTTCTCAATTCTATCTCTGTTTCATCTTCTTCATTATATCTTCTGAAAGTCCTGCTTCGATTGAAAACACATCTGTGTTCAATATTCAAAATCCTCAGAGTACACTTCTTTCTGTGAATATGTCTAGCGTGACAAAACTCACCAACGTTAATTATTTGATGTGGCACAAACAAGTACGTGCACTCCTCGAAGAGCACGAACTTCACGGATTCCTTGAAGAATCAACAGCTCCGCCGGCCACCATCATTGTCGACAATCAATCCAACGTGAACCCAGTTTATGCCCCTTGGTGTCGACAAGATCGGCTTCTGTATAGCACCATCATCGGTGCAATCTCCTTACCAATCCAATCAGTGGTCTCCAGCGCCACCACCACTGTCGAAGTCTGGAGCCTCCTTGCCATAAATTTTGGTAATCCAACCCGTTGACACATCCGTCAACTCAAATTTCATATCAAATCTTGTGTCAAAGGTACCACCACCATATCTGAATACCTACGCACCATCAAAGCTAAGGCACATGACTTGGCACTTCTAGGCAAACCGATGGACCCGGAAGATCTTACTGAGCAGATCCTTGATGGTCTCACTGCTGATTACAAGCCTGAAATTGATGCTATTAATGGGCGTGATACTTCGATCTCATTCTCGGAACTTCATTAACGCCTGCTGAATAGAGAAGCTATGCCATGAATCTGTAGCTACGACTCCGGTTGTTGCTAATGCCACTGAAAACTCGTCCCCGACAGAACTGGAAACCCACTCAAAACAATCACTTCCGCAACAATCAACAATCACAACACCGCAACAATCAACATCAACAACAAAATTGCAATGGATACAAACCATACCTTGGACGATGTCAAGCATGTGGAACGCAAGGGCACATTGCCAAATACTGCCCTGAATTTTGTATTGTTCGTGGATCTCAATCCACTCAGCCGTAGCATCTGCCATCATCTACTCAGCCCTGGCAGCCACGGGCCAATCCTGCAATGATGTCTGACTCCGCAACATGGCTACTTGACACTGGTGCTTCTCACCACATGACGTCAGATCTCAGCAATCTCTCCCTGCACAGTCCGTACCAAGGAGGCGATACTGTGATGCTTGGAGACAATTCTGGTCTTCAAATATCACACTGGTTCTTTCTCTATACCCTCATATACTCGATCTTTCTTTTTAAATAAAGTCCTATGCGTGATTGAAATAATTAGATATAGGAACAACTACATATTCTGCTGTTGATTTAATATTAATAAAAAGTTTTTTAATCGTTTTTCTAACAGTTAGTTATAATTAAGATAAAATTATTCTTTTATTGCTTTCTTTTCTTTTTAATTACTTTGTCATTTTTCTAAATAGTTTTCATCCATGATTGATAAATGATTTTAAAAGTTTGGTCAAGAATTTTATGAAAAATAAATGAAAAAAAAAGTTTTAGAATTGCAATTTAATTTAACATTGTTGCTATATGACAATTATACTTATTATTATAAAAAACAAATTATGAAAAGGAGCATTTTTTATTCTCTTCTGTAAACTATTAAAGTTGGCATGGTTCTTGAATATGATTGAAATAATTAGATATAGGAGCAACAACATATTCTGTCACCGCTAATACCCCCAAGAGAATATATCATCGTCAGATGCTACCAACAGATCGATGAAAGGGTCTAGATTATTGCTGATAAGTCACAAAGCATTGTTAAGGGTGACCAAGTCAATCCTTCTTGCTCTGTGACTCATCAACAACAATCCAAACCCCTTCATCGATCTATTGGCAGCACTTGACAATAATACACTCTCTTGGGAGCACTAGCAGCAACAGAATTTATAGTTGCTCCCATACCTATCAATTTCAGTCACATTCGTATATACTAAAATGGATTCAGATTGTAGGTACTTCATTGGTGAAGACACTCTATTTATACTTCATTGGCGAAGACACTCTATTTATTGTGAGTCAACTTTGACAACACTCACAAAAGGATATCTAACGTGGAGATTAGGTTGAATCTCGTTCAAAGATTATAGCTCATTTTTCCAAATTAGTATCAGGACATTGCTTCAACTTATGAGAACCGTAATTCAACAAATCAAGTCAAGCAAAAATAGATCTGCTTCCAAAATAGTCATCTTTTCCCTGCTAGTTTTTATCATTTTCCGAAACTAATAAAAACTGGTTTATTTTAGATTTTTCAGGTCAAAGATTCCTCTTTTAGATAAACAAATTAAAAACAAAGGAGCGTTTGGAAATGTCATAACCTTATTGCCTCAGCCCATTATTCTTGACTTAAGCAAATATCCCAATATTGGACCTATGGTAATACTATTAACCAAGTAATAGTGGTAGACCTTTCGAGTGGTGCAACATTCTTCATGTCGTTTACATCCAAACTGAATCACAAAATATAATAAGAATATGAATCATTATGTAATCAAAGCCAATTACACCAAATTCCAAATATCCTTACAAAGAGGCAAAAACTCAATAAAATATTGCCTCCAAACTTTTTTAAAACAGTTACTACATAGAAAGAAGCGAACACAATCACAAAGATACATTTATTATGTCTTTTTTTTCTTTTCTCTTTTACTCGGGTGTCCAAATATAGTGTGATTTCCAAGTTTCCCTGCTAAGATGCCGAACCACTTTGGCGGCACCGTCGCCATGAACGTCGACTGTCTTACATTCTGGACTTGGCGACCACAAGGTTTGTCCCTTCGCCCATTCCAGCAGCCCCCGGCCTCGTCCAAGTCTCCTTGAACTGTTCCTCAGTAACACCTGTATATGCAAAATAAAACGATCATGTTTAGGAAAAACAAGAAAATGTGAATTTTTGTAGATAGTTAGATAATTATGGAGCGAGCAAAATGCATGCATATAATGTTTTGCATATAAAAAGCCAGAAACTTTTTACTACTAAAAGCATTTTAAGTATCACTATTATAGAAATGCGATAGAAAAGAGTAAAACACTGATCAACCACTAAACCACTACATACAGTTAGTTAATATAAAAAAATTCACATATTAACTTCTTTTCATAGCTCTTATAAGTGGAAGATCCAATACTGAATCCAAAACTGATTCTCGAAACAAGTATCTCCGATGAAAATTACGCTTACATATAAATAAATATTTACCATAATAAGAACTAGTTTCATTAGTGTTATGTGTGTATTCAAATCAAACAAAAAGTAATATTACATTTGCCCATGGCCGCAGTGGAGGAGATTCCACCTTGGACGGTCTTAAGATAACGATCATAGTAATTAGCACCTGACCATTTCTGATGAGCAAAAGTTCCAACTCCATTGCTCCTCTCTTCTCTCTGAATCCTCTCCACATAAGCCAGCATCCCTCTCCTTGCGTAATCCTCTGCAAAGGTATCGACCACAAGAGCAATTACATGGAAACCCGCAAGTGTTATGTACTGCTAGCAATACCTGAGCCTAGCGATCCCCAGGATGAACTCCACCATTTGCTGATCCGTCATACCGGAAGCATCCCACTTGAAGGACGGCGAGAGGTTGTAGGCGAGCATGACCTCTGGCGTCTTGGACTTGATTCCTTCTGCGAATTGTGTGCACTCATTGAGATCGGGGGTTGCTCTTTCCATCCAGATAATGTCAGTGATCTATGCAAAGGCCCAGCCACGGACCACAGCCGCTGTGACCGAGCCTTGGAACTGGTAAAATCCTGATCTGTCACGTTTGCTGCTAATTCTCGTCCTTGCTCCTCTGATAGGCCGATCTCATACCTGGCTAGTTCAACGAGTTTTGAATGTGCATTAGCTAGTGTGGTTATAATATCAAAAGCATTGCAATTTGTAAAGAGGAACAGGCTAGATTTACCAATTAGATAGGAATATTATTCATTACGAACCTAACAGTCTAACAGTTCATGCTATAATAAAATAACACTTTCAAAACTTGTAACAAGCACCACAAAATATTTTTTGGATTAAGTATGTAATATGAAGATATTAATCATATCCCTTCAATCTCGCTCAATTACTCCTACATCATTGCTTAATTATGTTTATACTTATTAGCGTATATACTCTTACCCTGTATCACTTTCTCTTGGTGTATATAACAAGAGCTGTAACTAATAATCAAATCATCTAATTCCATACTTCAACATGGTATCAGAGCAATAAACGTTCTTGAGAACCCAGATTGTTTTTCTCCGCTCCTTTATCTCTCTTCTTCTTGCTATCTCTGTTCTCCTCTGTTTCTCAATTCTATCTCTGTTTCATCTTCTTCATTATATCTTCTGAAAGTCCTGCTTCGATTGAAAACACATCTGTGTTCAATATTCAAAATCCTCAGAGTACACTTCTTTCTGTGAATATGTCTAGCGTGACAAAACTCACCAACGTTAATTATTTGATGTGGCACAAACAAGTACGTGCACTCCTCGAAGAGCACGAACTTCACGGATTCCTTGAAGAATCAACAGCTCCGCCGGCCACCATCATTGTCGACAATCAATCCAACGTGAACCCAGTTTATGCCCCTTGGTGTCGACAAGATCGGCTTCTGTATAGCACCATCATCGGTGCAATCTCCTTACCAATCCAATCAGTGGTCTCCAGCGCCACCACCACTGTCGAAGTCTGGAGCCTCCTTGCCACAAATTTTGGTAATCCAACCCGTTGACACATCCGTCAACTCAAATTTCATATCAAATCTTGTGTCAAAGGTACCACCACCATATCTGAATACCTACGCACCATCAAAGCTAAGGCACATGACTTGGCACTTCTAGGCAAACCGATGGACCCGGAAGATCTTACTGAGCAGATCCTTGATGGTCTCACTGCTGATTACAAGCCTGAAATTGATGCTATTAATGGGCGTGATACTCCGATCTCATTCTCGGAACTTCATTAACGCCTGCTGAATAGAGAAGCCATGATTCTCTGCCATGAATCTGTAGCTACGACTCCGGTTGTTGCTAATGCCACTGAAAACTCGTCCCCGACAGAACTGGAAACCCACTCAAAACAATCACTTCCGCAACAATCAACAATCACAACACCGCAACAATCAACATCAACAACAAAATTGCAATGGATACAAACCATACCTTGGACGATGTCAAGCATGTGGAACGCAAGGGCACATTGCCAAATACTGCCCTGAATTTTGTATTGTTCGTGGATCTCAATCCACTCAGCCGTAGCATCTGCCATCATCTACTCAGCCCTGGCAGCCACGGGCCAATCCTGCAATGATGTCTGACTCCGCAACATGGCTGCTTGACACTGGTGCTTCTCACCACATGACGTCAGATCTCAGCAATCTCTCCCTGCACAGTCCGTACCAAGGAGGCGATACTGTGATGCTTGGAGACAATTCTGGTCTTCAAATATCACACTGGTTCTTTCTCTATACCCTCATATACTCGATCTTTCTTTTTAAATAAAGTCCTATGCGTGATTGAAATAATTAGATATAGGAACAACTACATATTCTGCTGTTGATTTAATATTAATAAAAAGTTTTTTAATCGTTTTTCTAACAGTTAGTTATAATTAAGATAAAATTATTCTTTTATTGCTTTCTTTTCTTTTTAATTACTTTGTCATTTTTCTAAATAGTTTTCATCCATGATTGATAAATGATTTTAAAAGTTTGGTCAAGAATTTTATGAAAAAAAAATGAAAAAAAAAGTTTTAGAATTGCAATTTAATTTATCATTGTTGCTATATGACAATTATACTTATTATTATAAAAGACAAATTATGAAAAGGAGCATTTTTTATTCTCTTCTGTAAACTATTAAAGTTGGCATGGTTCTTGAATGTGATTGAAATAATTAGATATAGGAGCAACAACATATTCTGTCACCGCTAATACCCCCAAGAGAATATATCATCGTCAGATGCTACCAACAGATCGATGAAAGGGTCTAGATTATTGCTGATAAGTCACAAAGCATTGTTAAGGGTGACCAAGTCAATCCTTCTTGCTCTGTGACTCATCAACAACAATCCAAACCCCTTCATCGATCTATTGGCAGCACTTGACAATAATACACTCTCTTGGGAGCACTAGCAGCAACAGAATTTATAGTTGCTCTCATACCTATCAATTTCAGTCACATTCATATATACTAAAATGGATTCAGATTGTAGGTACTTCATTGGTGAAGACACTCTATTTATACTTCATTGGCGAAGACACTCTATTTATTGTGAGTCAACTTTGACAACACTCACAAAAGGATATCTAACGTGGAGATTAGGTTTAATCTCGTTCAAAGATTATAGCTCATTTTTCCAAATTAGTATCAGGACATTGCTTCAACTTATGAGAACCATAATTCAACAAATCAAGTCAAGCAAAAATAGATCTGCTTCCAAAATAGTCATCTTTTCCCTGCTAGTTTTTATCATTTTCTGAAACTAATAAAAACTGGTTTATTTTGGATTTTTCAGGTCAAAGATTCCTCTTTTAGATAAACAAATTAAAAACAAAGGAGCGTTTGGAAATGTCATAACCTTATTGCCTCAGCCCATTATTCTTGACTTAAGCAAATATCCCAATATTGGTCCTATGGTAATACTATTAACCAAGTAATAGTGGTAGACCTTTCGAGTGGTGCAACCTTCTTCATGTCGTTTACATCGAAACTGAATCACAAAATATGATAAGAATATGAATCATTATGTAATCAAAGCCAATTACACCAAATTCCAAATATCTTTACAAAAAGGCAAAAACTCAATAAAATATTGCCCCCAAACTTTTTTAAAACAGTTACTACGTAGAAAGAAGCGAACACAATCACAAAGATACATTTATTATGTCTTTTTTTTCTTTTTTCTTTTACTCGGGTGTCCAAATATAGTGTGATTTCCAAGTTTCCCTGCTAAGATGCCGAACCACTTCGGCGGCGCCGTCGCCATGAACGTCGACTGTCTTACATTCTGGACTTGGCGACCACAAGGCTTGTCCCTTCGCCCATTCCAGCAGCCCCCGGCCTCGTCCAAGTCTCCTTGAACTGTTCCTCAGAAACACCTGTATATGCAAAATAAAACGATCATGTTTAGGAAAAATAAGAAAATGTGAATTTTTGTAGATTGTTAGATAATTATGGAGCGAGCAAAATGCATGCATATAATGTTTTGCATGTAAAAAGCCAGAAACTTTTTACTACTAAAAGCATTTTAAGTATCACTATTATAGAAATGCGATAGAAAAGAGTAAAACACTGATCAACCACTAAACCACTACATACAGTTAGTTGATATAAAAAATGTCACATATTAACTTCTTTTCATAGCTCTTATAAGTGGAAGATCCAATACTGAATCCAAAACTGATTCTCGGAACAAGTATCTCCGATGATAATTACGCTTACATATAAATAAATATTTACCATAATAAGAACTAGTTTCATTAGTGTTATGTGTGTATTCAAATCAAACAAAAAGTAATATTACATTTGCCCATGGCCGCAGTGGAGGAGATTCCACCTTGGACGGTCTTAAGATAACGATCATAGTAATTAGCACCTGACCATTTCTGATGAGCAAAAATGTCAACTCCATTGCTCCTCTCTTCTCTCTGAATCCTCTCCACATAAGCCAGCATCCCTCTCCTTGCGTAATCATCTGCAAAGGTATCACCAACAAGAGCAATTGCATGGAAACCCGCAAGCGTTATGTACTGCTAGCAATACCCGAGCCTAGCGATCCCCAGGATGAACTCCACCATTTGCTGATCCGTCATACCGGAAGCGTCCCACTTGAAGGACGGCGAGAGGTTGTAGGCGAGCATGACCTCTGGTGTCTTGGACTTGATTCCTTCTGCGAATTGTGTGTACTCATTGAGATCGGGGCTTGCCGTTTCCATCCAGATAATGTCAGTGATCTATGCAAAGGCCCAGCCACGGACCACAGCCGCTGTGACCGAGCCTTGGAACTGGTAAAATCCTGATCTGTCACGTTTGCTGCTAATTCTCGTCCTTGCTCCTCTGATAGGCTGATCTCATACCTGGCTAGTTCAACGAGTTTTGAATGTGCATTAGCTAGTGTGGTTATAACATCAAAAGCATTGCAATTTGTAAAATATTTTGTAAAGAGGAACAGGCTAGATTTACCAATTAGATAGGAATATTATTCATTACGAACCTAACAGTCTAACAGTTCATGCTATAATAAAATAACACTTTCAAAACTTGTAACAAGCACCACAAAATGTTTTTTGGATTAAGTATGTAATATGAAGATATTAATCATATCCCTTCAATCTCGCTCAATCACTCCTACATCATTGCTTAATTATGTTTATACTTATTAGTGTATATACTCTTACCCTGTATCACTTTCTCTTGGTGTATATAACAAGAGCTGTAACTAATAATCAAATTATCTAATTCCATACTTCAACATGGTATCAGAGCAATAAACGTTCTTGAGAACCCAGATTTTTTTTTTCTCCGCTCCTTTATCTCTCTTCTTCTTGCTATCTCTGTTCTCCTCTGTTTCTCAATTCTATCTCTGTTTCATCTTCTTCATTATGTCTTCCGAAAGTCCTGCTTCGATTGAAAACACATCTGTGTTCAATATTCAAAATCCTCAGAGTACACTTCTTTCTGTGAATATGTCTAGCGTGACAAAACTCACCAACGTTAATTATTTGATGTGGCACAAACAAGTATGTGCACTCCTCGAAGAGCACGAACTTCACGGATTCCTTGAAGAATCAACAGCTCCACCGGCCACCATCATTGTCGACAATCAATCCAACGTGAACCTAGTTTATGCCCCTTGGCGTCGACAAGATCGGCTTCTGTATAGCGCCATCATCGGTGCAATCTCCTTACCAATCCAATCAGTGGTCTCCAGCGCCACCACCACTGCCGAAGTCTGGAGCCTCCTTGCCATAACTTTTGGTAATCCAACCCGTTGACACATCCGTCAACTCAAATTTCATATCAAATCTTGTGTCAAAGGTACCACCACCATATCTGAATACCTACGCACCATCAAAGCTAAGGTAGATGACTTGGCACTTCTGGGCAAACCGATGGACCCGGAAGATCTTACTGAGCAGATCCTTGATGGTCTCACTGCTGATTACAAGCCTGAAATTGATGTTATTAATGGGCGTGATACTCCGATCTCATTCTCGGAACTTCATTAACGCATGCTGAATAGAGAAGCCATGATTCTCTGCCATGAATCTGTAGCTACGACTCCTGTTGTTGCTAATGCCACTGAAACTCATCCCCGACAGAACTGGAAACCCACTCAAAACAATTACTTCCGCAACAATCAACAATCACAACACCGCAACAATCAACATCAACAACAAAATCGCAATGGATACAAACCATACCTTGGACGATGTCAAGCATGTGGAACGCAAGGGCACAGTGCCAAATACTGCCCTGAATTTCGTATTGTTCGTGGATCTCAATCCACTCAGCCGTGGCATCCTCCATCATCTACTCAGCCCTGGCAGCCACGGGCCAATCTTGCAATGATGTCTGACTCTGCAACATGGCTGCTTGACACTGGTGCTTCTCACCACATGACGTCAGATCTCAGCAATCTCTCCCTGCACAGTCCATACCAAGGAGGCGATACTGTGATGCTTGGAGACAATTCTGGTCTTCAAATATCACACTGGTTCTTTCTCTATACCCTCATATACTCGACCTTTCTTTTTAAATAAAGTCCTATGCGTGATTGAAATAATTAGATATAGGAGCAACTACATATTCTGCTGTTGATTTAACATTAATAAAAAGTTTTTTAATCGTTTTTCTAACAGTCAGTTATAATTAAGATAAAATTATTCTTTTATTGCTTTCTTTTCTTTTTAATTACTTTGTCATTTCTGTAAATAGTTTTCATCCATGATTGATAAATGATTTTAAAAGTTTTGTCAAGAATTTTATGAAAAAAAAATGAAAAAAAAAGTTTTAGAATTGCAATTTAATTTATCATTGTTGTTATGTGACAATTATATTTATTATTGTAAAAGACAAATTATGAATAGGGGCATTTTTTATTCTCTTCTGTAAACTATTAAAGTTGGCATGATTCTTGAATGTGATTGAAATAATTAGATATAGGAGCAACAACATATTCTATCACCGCTAATACCCCCAAGAGAATATATCATCGTCAGATGCTACCAACAGATCGATGAAAGGGTTTGGATTATTGCTGATAAGTCACAAAGCATTGTTAAGGGTGACCAAGTCAATCCTTCTTGCTCTGTGACTCATCAACAACAATGCAAACCCCTTCATCGATCTATTAGCAGCACTTGACAATAATACACTCTCTTGGGAGCACTAGCAGCAACAGAATTTATAGGTTCTCCCATACCTATCAATTTCAGTCACAATCATATATACTAAAATGGATTCAGATTGTAGGTACTTCATTGGTGAAGACACTCTATTTATACTTCATTGACGAAGACACTCTATTTATTGTGAGTCAACTTTGAGAACACTCACAAAAGGATATCTAACGTGGAGATTAGGTTTAATCTCGTTCAAAAATTATAGCTCATTTTTCCAAATTAGTATCAGGACATTGCTTCAACTTATAAGAACCATAATTCAACAAATCAAGTCAAGCAAAAATAGATCTGCTTCCAAAATAGTCATCTTTTCCCTGCTAGTTTTTATCATTTTCCGAAACTAATAAAAACTGGTTTATTTTGGATTTTTCAGGTCAAAGATTCCTCTTTTAGATAAATAAATTAAAAACAAAGGAGCGTTTGGAAATGTCATAACCTTATTGCCTCAGCCCATTATTCTTGACTTAAGCAAATATCCCAATATTGTTCCTATGGTAATACTATTAACCAAGTAATAGTGGTAGACCTTTCGAGTGGTGCAACATTCTTCATGTCGTTTACATCGAAACTGAATCACAAAATATAATAAGAATATGAATCATTATGTAATCAAAACCAATTACACCAAATTCCAAATATCCTTACAAAGAGGCAAAAACTCAATAAAATATTGCCCCAAACTTTTTTAAAACAGTTACTACGTAGAAAGAAGCGAACACAATCACAAAGATACATTTATTATGTCTTTTTTTTTCTTTTCTCTTTTACTCGGGTGTCCAAATATAGTGTGATTTCCAAGTTTCCCTGCTAAGATGCCGAACCACTTCGGCGGCACCGTCGCCATGAACGTCGACTGTCTTACATTCTGGACTTGGCGACCACAAGGCTTGGCCCTTCGCCCATTCCAGCAGCCCCCAGCCTCGTCTAAGTCTCCTTGAACTGTTCCTCAGTAACACCTGTATATGCAAAATAAAACGATCATCTTTAGGAAAAACAAGAAAATGTGAATTTTCGTAGATAGTTAGATAAATTATGGAGCGAGCAAAATGCATGCATATAATGTTTTGCATGTAAAAAGCCAGAAACTTTTTACTACTAAAAGCATTTTAAGTATCACTATTATAGAAATGCAATAGAAAAGAGTAAAACACTGATGAACCATTAAACACTACATACAGTTAGTTGATATAAAAAATGTCACATATTATCTTCTTTTCATAACTCTTATAAGTGGAAGATCCAATACTGAATCCAAAACTGATTCTCGGAACAAGTATCTCCGATGAAAATTACGCTTACATATATATAAATATTTACCATAATAAAAACTAGTTTCATTAGTGTTATGTGTGTATGCAAATCAAACAAAAAGTAACATTACATTTGCCCTTGGCCGCAGTGGAAGAGATTCCACCTTGGACGGTCTTAAGATAATGATCATAGTAATTAGCACCTGACCATTTCTGATGAGCCAAAGTGTCAATCCCATTGCTCCTCTCTTCTCTCTGAATCCTCTCCACATAAGCCAGCATCCCTCTCCTTGCGTAATCCTCTGCAAAGGTATCGACCACAAGAGCAACCGCATGGAAACCCGCAAGCGTTATGTACTGCTAGCAATACCCGAGCCTAGCAATCTGCAGGATGAACTCCACCATTTGCTGATCCGTCATACCGAAAGCATCCCACTTGAAGGACGGCGAGAGGTTGTAGGTGAGCATGACCTCTGGTGTCTTGGACTTAATTCCTTCTGCGAATTGTGTGCACTCGTTGAGGTTGGGGCTTGCGGTTTCCATCTAGATAATGTCAGCGATCTGTGCAAAGGCCCAGTCACAGACCACAGCCGCTGTGACCGGAAGAATCCTTCTTTGGTCCCAGTCCCAAAAAAGATCTGAAAAGATCTGTCACACAAAGTTTTGCTGCTAATTCTAGGCCTTGCTCGTTTGATAGACAGTTCTCATACCTGGTTAGTTCAACGGGTTTTAAATGTGCATTAGCTAGTGTGGTTATAACATCAAAAACATTGCAATTTATAAAGATTTTTGTATATAAGAACAAGCTAGATTTACCAATTAGATAGGAATATTATTCATTACGAACCTAACAGTTCATGCTAAAATAAAATAACACCTTCAAAACTTAACTAGCACCACAAAATGTTTTTTTGGATTAATCTGAAAAAAAATTGTTTAATATGAAAACACTACCGGTTCTACATATATATTAGATTATCAGAAGTAAAACCCCACATATATAAAACAAAATTTAAATTTGGGTTAAGAAAAAATTTAGTTTTGATTACATATACATAATAACAAAAATAAATGATATTTTCAGAAAATATATACTTAATTACGTATCTAGTACCTTTGTATAGTTTAGCCACTCGTTCACACTACGGCTCTTCTCATTCTCATTGAGATTCATCCACTTGAGAGTCTCCAAGACAGCGTCAGAGAACGTCATGAGACAGGGCCGAGCTAAGCCATTGGTCCTCAATGGATTGCAACACTGGACCGTTCTTGCCCCCAGCCATTCCCTCAGCGAGTAGCAAGGGCAAAATCTTGCCTCTAAGGCTCGAATTAGTCACACCGAGGATGAACTGGTGGTCCCATGAGTCAATGTTCGATTGGATCATAGTGGCTGCGACCGCATCCCTTCTAGCGACCAGAACTGTCTCTGTGCCCATCACATCGAACTGGAGCCAAGCCGCGACAAGGCCCTTGATGTCTTCACTGACTGGCTGCCAGGGGGACCTTTCCGGCCATGTGGCCACACTTTTTGGTGACGGAGGACTGATCCTCGATGTGGACCCCAGTGGCGCCTCTCTCGACGAAGAGCTTGCAGAGTTTGACGGTGGCAGTGGTGACGCCAAAACCAGTGTCTGTCGGCGATGATGAGCCTCAGGTAGTCAAACAGAGTTTTTGTTCTTTCTTCTCTGCTGAGGCTCATTCTTGCCTCCCTCTGCTTCCTGCGGGAGATTTATATTGATGGTTATAAATTGGATGAGTAAGGGTTGTTATTGTTGTATTATTCAAACCTATCAAAATATAATAAAAATGTCACACTATCCATGATTAGCTTTAATGACCCGTGTCGTGAAGAATCCCAAAACTATTTCTGAATTTACCTTCAGTTCAAGACGGGTAACTCGATGTTCCCATGTTATAGACAGTCCATAATAAATGCTCAATAACTCAGCCAAAAGCGCTGAACATATGCCAATATTCAGTGTGAACTCTGCATACCGATTACCCCACTTATCCCGTCACTCCACATGCGGTTGCAAATCCGTGGTTTTTATGTAATCTCCATCAATATTAATCTTCATCCAGCCATCACTTGGTGGTAACCACGATATTAAACGCTCCTCTCTCCCAACCACATTCCCACACTCCCTTGCATTCAAATGCGCAAGCTCCACTTCCTTGGCCAGATCTTTTATAAATCTTACTCTATCTCTACACTTATCATTAACTCTTAATTAACACATTGCCGTACTGCCATTTTCATCCCCACCAAACAGTTATTAATTACCTTTTGTTATAATCATAATTCTATTTCTTGTTTCATTGTGATCTTTATTTTAAATTTTAATTATATTTAAAATTTGAATAAATAAAATTTAAGAATCTAAGTAAATAAACAATAAAAAAAATTCTTCTATTTTATCTTTTTTTCATTGTTCCTAATATTTCTTTAATAATTCAATATCAGAGTCATAATGTATTCAAATACTTTTTTTGGAAATAGTTTTATGTATTCAACTATTTTTTACCTAAATAAGATGTTTTTTTTTTAAGTATGAAAGAAATTATGGTAAAAATATTATTAAAAAATATTGAAAATGCTGAGAATATTTTGGGAATAGTTTTTTTGGATTTATGAATTCAATATCAAGAGCAAGAGTATAAATGGAGACTTTTGCAAAATATGGAAAATTTGCTTCTTTTTAATAAATTTTACGAAAAAGAGAGAAAATGGGTCTCACAAAAATAATTATGACTTTCTTTCTTGTAATTGTATTGGTTGTTTTGTTGTCCACCGAAAACAATGTGGCATCAGGTATATTTTGTGATATACTCTCTCTTTTTCAAAAAAAAAAAAAATACTACTTAAGAAATTTATGTATAATATCTATATATTTGTAACTAATATTGGATATAATACTATTGAACAAGTGAAGTTAAAAAGAAAAAAAATTACTGAAATTTTAGGTATTGAGAATATAAAACATTAGTTATCATGCTACAAAGAACTACTAATTCTTGCAATAAATTATCTTTAATCATATAAAAACTTTAAGTATGGAGAAGAAATTTTAAAATGATAAAAATATAGGTTTTTGAAGATCTAATATGGCATGTTGAATACGTGAATATATGTATAAATTTGATAATTAGATTAATGTGGATTTTGTGTATATATATACGCAGAGATCAAAGTGAACAAAAAGGAAGTCGACGTAAAATGTTTAAATTGATGTGATGGTTCATTCACAACGAAAATATGCTCCAAGAACTGTATACCATATGGGTATGCAGGAGGAGATTGTCGGAGAGGTCCTTCAAAGCCTCAAGAACCTGAACGTTGTTGTTGTTATTATTTACAGTGACCATATCAGTTGATTTGTTTTTGTTTACCTTTAATATACTGGCGCCAACAACAAAATCAAGACATTTATATAAATTAGTTAATTTAGTTATAGGGGAAAATTAAAGGAGGGAATGTAACGCCGGGCGGGGAATTTAGTTCGGATTACGATGTTCCGATGAAGGGGACCTACTGCTTCACAATTTAAGGTTAATCTTAACCATGTGCAGCCCAACTCTCTTGCTTGATTGTCAAAGGTTGATTCCGTTTACATTCTACAAAATTATTGGATCCCAATATCTTTTTTTTTTTTGGGCAAAGAATCCCAATATCATGGGTTTTTTCGTTTCATTGTTACATATCTAAAGTACAACAAGATGAATGAATCAGTACGATTTTTAGGCATGTTCTTTCTTTTTTATGTCGATGTTATTACACCAACCGACTATATATTTCTCTACCTCTACTTTTTCTACAACAATTAGATTTGGATAATTTATAACTCATCACTATTCAAATCAACTCTAAAAAATATATCAAACCCACCAATTACATCGAACAACAAGAATCAATTTGCATTTCAATATATGTTAAACAAAGGTGATAGACTGAATAGAGACAAATGGTACAAATGAGTCATTGCCACCGTTGGTATTTCCTTCGACGACGTTAGTGTCTCTGTAAACTATCATAGTGTTTTCCATTATTAACGCATAACTCATGTTCATTGTAACAATTCGGGTCCAGCCCATTTGAATAAGTTTAAATAAATTGATTTGGCTATCTGTCACTCAAGTGTATTTATCTTTTCGGTTAATAGGCCGAGAGAACTTCAGAATTAAGCGTGTTGGAGTAGGACTAGGATGGGTAACTTTTCGGGAAGTGATTCCCGAAACCGTGTGAGTGAGGCCAATACACGGAAAAATATCATGTGATGATGGCAGGGTCAGTAAATAAGTCGGTTGGGATCCTGGAAAAAATAACGCACAAGCCGTCGGCAGAGACGGGCCCACGAGCCTGGCGGAGGGATGGGTGACTCGCCGGTAAGGGCGGTCGGGGGCGTTACAAGTGGTATTAAAGTCTGAGAAGTCAAACTGGTTATGTCCCAGGAGACTGTCTTGGGATTTGAGGGTTAAGGCTCACACTATCGGGATCAGAATTCAGGGACGAATTTCAGTTTAGTGGGGGAAAATTATAACGACCCGGACCCGGCCTATTTGAATAAGTTTAAATAGATTGATTTGGCTACCTATGTCACCAAAGTGCACTTATCTTTTCCGTTAGTAGGCCCGAGAGAACTCCAGAATTAAGTGTGCTTGAACTGGAGTAGGACTAGGATGGGTGACCTTTCGGAAAGTGATTCCCGAAACCGTGTGAGTGAGGCCAAAACACGGAGAAATATCATGGCAGCACAAAACGATAATAAACTGTCTTGGTGGCACTAACGGCAACAGAATTTGTAGTTGCTCTCATACCAATCAATTTCAATCACATTCAAGAACATACCATGCATATATACTAAGATGGATTCAGATTTTAGGTATTTCATTGTCGAAGACATTCTATTTATACTTCATTAGCGAAGACACTCTATTTATTGTGAGTCCAACTTTGAGAACACTCACAAAAAGATGTCTATTGTGGAGATTAGGTTTAATCTCGTTCAAAGCTGTGATTGGTAAATTTGGTGGAATGGTGGAAAAACTCAATTCCGCAAGAATTTTGCCAATCAGAAAAATTTGCGGAAAAACGCCAAAACTCGAGTTCTACGGAATGGCAGAAAAACTTACAAAAAGTACAAAGAAAAATTAATTGAGTGGAAAATTATGTTTCAGGTAGCTTATTTGCAGAATCAATATTTTATATCATTCAATTATATAACTAATTATATTTTATTATTTAAATAAATATAAAAAATATATTTATACTACATATATTTATATAATGATCAGATTATATCTATAGATTAAATATTGCAATATAGTTATATATTTTATAGTAAAAAAATAATAATAAATAATTACAATAAAAGTTTTAGTTTTTCTAATTATATTAAAATTATGTTTTTATAATAATTAATATTTTAATTTTTATTATATTAAATTATATATAAACAAATATTATTATGAAAAATTGATTATATATATTTTCTGTCATTCCACCATTCCGTCATTCCGCATAATTTATCCAATCATATCAAATTAATTATTTCATTATTCAGCATTCCGCCATTCCGCAGCTTAATTTTTTCCGCCATTCCACAGTTTTTATTGTGTTACCAATCGGAGCCACTCTTTTTTCCCAAATTAATATCAGGACATTGCTTCAACTTATAAGAACCGTAATTCAAAATATAACTAAAGAAATTCAAGCAAAAATATATCTGCTTCCAAAATAGTCGATCTTTCCCCTGCTAGTTTTTAGGGGTGGGCATTCCGGTTTATTTTCATATTCGGTTCGAGTTTGGTTCGGTTTGGTTAGTTTGTTTTTACTAAACTCTAATCAAACTCAACCAAATTTAATTCGGTTCAGATTCGGTTCGGTTTGGTTTAAACACAGTTCAGTTTGGTTCGGTTATAGTTAAATTAGATTCATTCAATTCGGTTAACAGATCGATAAACAAAACCTTATATAAACATTAATGTAACGTCAATATCA